GATAAAATTACCTTGTTCGATATGCTGTGATAAGAGTAAAGTAAATAAAGTAAGTAAAATGCAAGTAAAATAATATGCGATATATCCACAAATATTTATCGTTTCCTTCCTTTCTGTACGATAACGTGCTCAGTATTACTTGAGATAGATTGGGTTGATGAGCGTTAAAAATACGAAACAGGCTATTATTTCGCAAGATTATTGTTCATTTTTTCTACGTTTTGCGACAGACATATTTGATTAGTTAGGTATATCATAATAAGGTTTGTTGGATATAATCTAATGAATTCTTATATCGAATCTCGAGATGGTTTAAATCGCCAAATCCAATTTCCACTGATAAAATAAGGAAGTGCATATCAGGTATAAAAGCGTCATCAAAATTGTTAACTGAAGTGTTATACTTGAATATTTCGTAAATACAATTGTGATTTTCACGGTAACCATTGTAGCTATAATAATTCTTTTCTATTGAAAATTAACACAAGAAAACGTTGCAATAAAAATTACGTAGTTATGATTATTCAATAACCTTCTATATACTACCCACAAAAACTTTCGAATTGAATGATGTTTATTAGAAAATTTTGAGCACTTTGTAGCATAGACAAAATGCTATTAGAAAAGTGATTTTTAAAGTTTTAGTGCCGAACAAAACTCTCTCAAGCTTTAAAGAGGCATGAGTGAAATTTAGGACGTAATGGTTGAAGAAAAATCTAATTTCAAAAATACCTCATGCAAAATGTGACAGCGAAATATTAGATATAACACAATTCAATTAGCTTTATAATCTTTTGTTTGCTTCGCATAAATATTGATCATTAAAATAAAAGATAAATAATGCTATATCAAGCATTGACATTAATCTAGTAATCTTTCTATCAAGCGCTAACTTGCTGTTTAACTTCTTATTCAATTTCTATACGTTTTAAGTAGCACGATATTTGATAATACAATTTATATTTTCGGTTTTGGTCGAAATTTCATTTTTACCCATGCCATAAGAGTAATGTAATATTTAACCTTATTATGTTATTGATATCATTCGAATTATTAGCCGAGATTTTATATTTTGATGACTTCAATAACATAATATCAATAAGAAATCAATCAAGCCAAATTTATAAAATCCAGGCCTGCAATAAAAGACAATTTTGATATTAGTATGACTTGGCTGCCCAAATGTGTGTGATTTTAATGTACGGACTTCAAAACAACGAAGTCTTACTTGGCGCGATTAGAAAACAACATTGTGTTTTGATTTGCTTAGTAAAAATATTGACAGGAAATTGTATAACAGCCCACATATCAAGTGTGTTTGTTGTTTGTATGTTGGAATCAAATCTTTATAATTCGTTAATAATGACCAAGATTGATCAAGAAACCAAGCATTACTGCAATATTAAAAACAATGAAGTCTCAGCGGGCATTTATTGTACGCGAATTGGAATTATGAATCTTGAGAAGAAATTGTTAAAAATTAGTCTAATTGATGATGAAAGAGCTCAGAAAGTTAATTTTCTTGTCTTCCTGGGGTTCGTGGTTTTAACACAATGTTGGTGGTTTTTAAATAAATGCTTCATTAGGTTTTTTGCGCACCTAAAAGAGGTATTTGTTTATATTCAGTATAAAGCGAGCCGAGCCGAGTTTTGAATATTCGATGACTTCAATATTATAACAACAATTGTATATTTAGGAGGCTATTAACTCATAAAAGCTAGCCCGCATCAAATAACAATTTAAATAGGGTATGAACTGGTTGCTCAAATATATAAGATTTTAATGTATAGGCTTCAAAATAACGAAGATGTGCTTGAAGCAATGAGGAAAAACTCTGTGTTTCGATTTGCTTAGTCAGAGTAATGACAATATTGTTTAACAGCCCACATATTGTTGTTATTGATATTGTGTTGTTAGTTGGTTGAAATCTAATCTGAATAATTCGTTCGAACGAAATAGCACAAATACAGACGTGGTACCGAGCATTAAGAAGATCGCTCTGTTGATCAATGGCGCCAATTTTCATAAAATGCTGTGTATTAGAATAATACAGATGTAATAGAAAAAAATTTTGAGGGAGTCGAAAAAAGTACCATCGTTTTGGAGGGGACAAACCTGCGACCAGCGGCCCTCCAAAGAATTTCGTGTGGCACTCGAAGCAATACCAATGAGATACAATACCACCTGAATATTAAGGAAGCTATAAATTCATACAATCTAGCCCGCAATAAAGGACAATTTTGATAGGGAATCGGATTAATATATCGGTCGCCGCTGCTTGGATATTCTGACAATCAAAGAAATTTAATTTATTTTTTAACTTTGTTTTATATCAATATAACAGTTGTAAGATTTTCACAACAATGCTACTAATTGTAGCAATTACATTTCTCAGTTTTATTGAAGGTTTTATGACGCAACATCATAATGGTGAGTATTTATAATTGTTGATAATAAACTGTTGGAAAGAATAGATGCATTCGCATAATGCTTTGTATAAATCGCATATAAAGGCTTCGAAAATCAATCACACAAAATCAATACTAACAGTTGAAAAATTAGGTAATTAATTTAATATCAAGTACTCAAGAAAAGTCAACATAATGTTGAATTTAAAAGAACAGACACTTCATTGAGTACTCAGACATACTCAATTCGATGGGAATGAAATATAATCTATTGCATAGTTTAATCGAGTTCAAGTTTGTGTAAAAAGGAATTGCCAATTTCAAATTTGGATAAAAATGTTTTGAACGGATCAAGAAACGGAAGCGTTATTGCAATATCAAAATAAAAAATAATAATTTTTAGCTGGTATTTATTCGACGCAAATAAGACTTATAAATCTTGTGAATAAATTGTAAAAAATTACTCTAAAATAGCACTTGTTGCGTATGAAAGTGCTCAGAAAGTTAATTTTCCGTCTTCTTGTGACTCGTGGTTTTACCCCATAATTGGGTGTATTAAAATGCTTCACTAACACCAGAAAATGGTTAATTTCGGTGTTTTATAAAGTTGAATGAAGTTTGTTCTAATAAAATATATTGAAAAAGTAGCGCTATTAACGCTTTTTTGATTTTTTATTTCAGTTGAAAAGAAGGATTTTTTGGAAGTAGTGTTTGTAGTTGATGGATCGGGATCTATTGGAAAAGAAAAATTTGCAATAATGAAGGAATGGCTTGTAAATCAAACAGTAAAAATATATGAAGCGTTTGGAGACTCTGCACATGTTGAAGTATTACAATTTTCAGACAATGACAATCCATGGGACGGGTATTATGTGCCTTTACTATTCTATTTATATATCGGATAATATCACTCTCGTGTATAACAATCTCGTGTAATTTAAACCTCTTAAATTTACTGACTTGTTGAATAGTAAAAACGGTGACCAATTCAAAATACCGAAATAAATATTAATAGAAAATAAATTTCAATCAATGTTAACGTTCGCTTTGGTTTTAATTTAGTTTGGTTAATTCTATGACAATTACTTCTAGAGTTTCCATTGAAGATTCAAAAAAGTTTGTTATTCCATTTGTGCTGGGAGAATGCGTGAATAATGCATCCTGTTTCACACCAAGGATTATGAATATGCCATACTTGAATTCGGCAACTTATACTTACTATGCACTACGGAGAGTAATGGAGGTGAGATGGGTTGTGTAATAGAAGCATGGAACGTAAGAAAAAAACGCTGATGTTTCTTATATCAATTAGTATCGAGGACGATTTTATTGTTGCCGGAGATTAGTGGATGTATGGTTGTAACAATGTCAATTTAAAGTATATTTACATCGCTAGCAAAATATTATACCAATATCTTATTTTTTCTGACGCTTGAAACCTTTTCACACAGGTTTTATTCAATTTCATTTTAGTCATTCGTTTATAGACAATATTTGAACCATCGTCTAGCGTTCTAATTTTTGTGACATAATTTTTTTTTTGGATTTTAACCTTACTAGTACGCGTTTTTCTTGCCACCAAACCACACGTTATAAGTTTCACATCGAAAACATTGAACTATTCAACGAAAAAACGTTTTATCACTTAATTATATGCAGGTGGAATTTCCAAAATCTCGGAGTTTCACCATTTCCAAAAAGGCAGTGATTGTTGTGACTGATGGCGAAGCGAATGATCATGCTTTCCTTCGTGGCTGGTATGTTACATAGTTACTTTGTAAACTAGCTCTGACATAAGTTAATTAAAATGATATATTATATTATTCATTTTATTGGTGAATAAATTCATTAAATGTGGATTGAACATCTGCCGCAAATTATTGACTTCAACATTTTAAATATTTGTTTTAACACAATCTTAGAAAATTGCAGCTGCATCTCATTTAGCTTAATTTTGACTGATTAAGATTTAGTCTTGTCAGATTTGTGGATAGGGTCAGCAAAATAGATTTGTATTAGCGCATTTTGCTGTCATTTCCTTTCTAAGTCGGACAGACATCAATTGTGAAGAAGTTGAAAAGTATCTAAAATAAGGAACCCAGACTATTTCATTCGTTGATTTTTCCGAGGCTGAGAATTATTAGTTCTTCTTATGGTTTGAATATTATATATATCAAAGTCGTACATATCTTACCTGTTTAAAGTAGTCATTGAAAGGTGCCTTATATAATTCAATATCATATACACATTAATCGCGGTTCTAATGAAGTTTCCGCAAGGCGAATTTGAGCGTTGACTTCCACACAATTTCTCTGTTTGGGATAAGAGATAATAATAAAAATATTTTCGCAGTAAGTTGTACTAAAAATCATAAATATTTTTATTGACGCGGATCAGCGCTGGTCCACGGACAGGTGGTTGAGAACCGCTGTTCTAAAAGAACGTTAAGTTAAAGTTTACACAATATTTTAATCCATGATAAAATGCGTTGGGGATGGCGAAATATGACGAGTTAGAAAATTTGAGGCTTCAAAAGTGCATAATAACATACGTTGGCTACTGTTTTAATAACTGATCTATTTTGAATTTAAGGCATGATAAATACAAAGATGCGGTGACCGCGATTGCAATAGGAGTTGGGAATTATGAAAAGTTTTTGAGTCAATTGCAAATTATCGCAAACGGTGGCACGGGGAACGACAGGGTTTTTACTTTAAGTGGTTTCAATGAATTGCAAAAGCATTCTTCAGATTTGATAACTACTCTCATTAAATCAACAGGTAGGCCCATGTCATTTACTGATATGAAATTTGCACTAAGATGAACCGACATAACCACAACAAACAATTGAAAATCGGATACGAACAAAAACCTTCGAATAAGAAAATATTGCAGAATATATTAAAATTATTAGGTGCTGTTATTCGATAACAATTTTGCCTATATATCTATAGATAATTGTTTGGGTATGAATTTGTAACCCTCATGCTGATGTAGTGACTTAACCTCATCTAAAAGTTGATTAAATTTGCTTAGATCTGATATGGAGTTCGTGGTCATCTTGCTCAACATCGTGTTCACCTGGTATTCAGATGCGAACAATTACTTTCCGCAATGCAACAGGAACATTGAATGGAAGCGTTATTGTAAATCAGGTAAACTAATTTGAAATATGTGGAGAGATATTCTAGATTAGTTTTTGAATGAAACTGAATCAAGAATTTTGTTGCTGCTGTACATTTATAAATCTTATTAAATACTACATAGCAAAGTTTTTTCAATCAAACACGTATAAAAAGGGAAAAATATAGATAATTAAATTGGTAATGTTATTTTTTATTAGTCAAATATCCGTAATGAAAATATTGGGCGGTTTTCGAAAACGACCTGAACAAGATGTTGCTTTGAAGTCATGTCTTGCGTACAAAATCAATATCAAGATAGCATTCAAAGATAGAAAAAAAAAAAAAACTATTGAAACGCTTCATGGCTCAAATAGAACAATCTGTCAACAATCTTTTGAGTCACGAATCACACTGTTAAAAACTTGTAGTAATACAGTTGTCTGGGTTGTATCACATATTTGATATCCATAAGAGGTATGTTTTATTACACACAGACAAAAGCATGCAACGAAGATTTGTGCGCGCTCTACTATGACAATGACTTGCGATGTGCAGGCCCTGGTATCATTCCTACCCAGTGCTCTGTGGATGCATTCAGAAAATTTCTGCTGAAGAATGTTAATTGGGACGAAATAGGACAAGATGAAAGTAAGTGTCTTATGTTTTCCGACGGTGCAATTTAACAATTACAATCATCAAATGGAAATGAAAATATTTAAACTAATAAAAGAGGATAGAAGTTTGAACAATCCGAATGATTCATAAACTTAATCTTAATGTTTTCAGAAATATTTGAATCACCAGTTAAAGGACTGAGAATGAAACTCAAACAAATCAAATCACCAGGAATGACCATAAAATTAGTGAATATAGAAAGATATGACGCTATGAAGCCTTAGGTAGACCATGACATGAATATAAAGTTGTATTAAAACTGCTCATTCGATAATTATTCATAACCATGTTAATATTTTCCACTGATTATGTTTCAGCAGTCTGAAAACGTTTGTACTTTTGCATTTCTGTTACGACTCTGAAAAGTTTACTAGTTTTTCATTTGTCTTATGATATTTCGTTATCGCATAAGTAAACTATTTTGCAAGAAATTATATGAATAATATATTAATATACATCTGTTCATTTATTTCAACATGTTATCATACAATGACAGTGTATCCACTGATAATGCTCCAGCAGTTTGAAAATGTGTGTATTTCTTCGTATTCTATTATAAATGTATAAACTATTTTATTGTTTAAATCGACAATTGCTATGTTGTTATTCTTCATTGTATCCGGATTTTTCGTTATCCCATTGGTAAACTACTTTGCATGGAATTGGTTTATTTTCCACGAATGATATTTATTGGGGATATTTTGTTCTTGCTTTTCAATCATCATTTGTACATGTTTGATTTAATTCTTGGACAGAATCAAAAAAAATCAAAAAAAAAAATTAAATGATTTGCATGAAGTCTGCTGTAACCATTTACAGCCATTGGGGCTGGGGCGCATTATGTAATTCTGTTGCCAAAGACATTCTGTATCGTGTAAATCAGTTGTCTGAAAACGGTATTTACCACTTGGCCAAATATATCTATTTCGGTAGTGTGCGTACGCAATCATTTTCGAATATGAACAATCGCAGCATTAAATTATATGACGCACTTGCGCCTCCTGTTCCTGCGCTGAACACCTGTCTCAGTAAGATGTATGTATCTGTTTCTGATCTATTATCAACAATTAAGTCTTTTATCTACTTATCAGCAATGTGAAGGATAATACGGGCCGACCCCGGAATAAAAAGGTTCAATTATATTCAATGCTCATAATACGATCCCAAGCTTTTAATTTCTTGAGTTAAACTCAAATACAGAACCGTTTTATTCAACTTTATATTCAAACTCATATCGTTCTTTGTAAGTATCATAACTGTAAAAATAGGACGATTTACAATGCTGTCCACGCATTAAATACCTGCGCCTAAGGATTGAGTGTGAATTTTCGATACGTACGATTTTTAAGGCTCCCGGAGTTGTTGATTATGACAATTTCATTTGAAAAGACTATCATAATTTGAATACACTGACATGATATACGAGTAATTAAACTTATTCACAAAGTTACATATTTTACATTCAAGTTTTGAATTTTATTTGAATTGAAAATATCTACAGATTTTGCGCAAAAAAATCTAAATGCCAAGTTGGTATATTAGCTGTCTCTGAGTTATAGTTATTCATACTTCACTGCCAACTTTCTTTAAAATTTAGATCTCAATATGATTGAATATTGTTTGCTTTTAATGAATCACTAGATAAAAACATTGGAATTCACTAAAACTCAAACATCTCAAATATAACAAAATGTCATACCAATATTATAAATTCTCATTTACTTCCGACGACCTTGAATGATTATACTATAATGGAAAATTTTCAAAATGGAACCCTTTATATATATAAACTATGAGTGGTTTTCCAAGTTTTTAGTAGATTGAAGCGTCAATGAGACATACCAGAACCCAAGTGAAATAGTTTGTTTCTCTCGCTCTGATCTGTAAAGACTATAAATATATATATATATATCAGCAAAACTAATACGGGCAAATCAAATGGCAACCCTAAAAGGCATATAATTATATTTGGAAATTATACATTTATCGATATAAACCTTAGGATTTGAATAGAAACCACTGGAGTGTACGTGCGGGACCCCGAGATGCCGCAAAAGCCAAACAGAAAATAACTGTTGTAAATACTTATCTTATAATCAAGATACGGATAAATTTGAATTAATCCATATTAAATGGATATCATAAAGCTGTGATCTTGTGTAAACTGATGTACAGCAGTATATTGCAGATTTTTAAAATAGTGAAAATAATGTTAGCGTGTATTGTGCCCATACCTCACACGTCATTTTGCGTCTATAGATAATGTATCAGTACGTCACTCGTGGTAATGACAGGAAATTGTTAAACAGCCCACATATCAAGTGTGTTGTTAGTTGATTTAAATTAAATCTGAATAATTCGTTTTTGATGACCAAGTTCGAAGAAAATAGCACAATAATAGACGAGGTACTGAGCTATAAGAAAATCGTTCCGCTGATCAATGGCGCCAATAGCTCCGAGGAAAAATTTAATAAAATGCTTTATATCGGAATATTACAGATGTTATTGAAAATTTTTTTGTGAAAGCTAAAACATTATCATCGTTTTAGAGCAGAGGTGACGAACATGCGCCAGCGGCCTGCCAAAGAATTCCTTGCGGCCAGCGAATCATTCAGCTGATTTAGTGTACGTTTGGATTGAAGTGATAAACCTTTAAAGACTGTGCAAAAGAAACGGGAGCGTTAGTATTATTAATACTACTGGCAACAATATTTCCGATACATGGGATGAATTCTTTTATACTTTATGTATCCGAAGGCTTGCAAAAAGACCACGTTGAAAACTATACAGTTGGGGTTAGTATTGGGAATGATTTAGGAATTTGAATTTCGGGCGAAATCGGCATTCTTAGTTCTCACCTTATCCCGGTAACAGGATTATTTCGATTTTCTGTTTTGGGTGCAGACGGTGGTGTTTTTATTTTTTGACGGAGGCTTTCTTTCAGTTCTATCACCAGTTCGTGGACTGTCTATGTTAGTCAAGTGAATAAACCCCCTGCCCATAGATTTCAGTCCTTTTACACAACTAGATGTAAAATAGACGAACAAAATTAGTTACCTCCACTTTGGTACACATACTTCTGGAGCGCCGAATTTTGTATATTACCTAGGCACAAAATGTCATAAGGGAAGATTCGATGAGATGTATAAGTTGAAATACGTTTGATGGCGCAACCAGAATTACCAAAGGGAGAGAGGAGGTTTTTAATCAGGAAGAAGCCGGAAATTTCCATGCAACTGTCAACGCAATTGGACAGGTCATTTGGGAAAAAAGCCCCACTTTATCGATGGATAATGTTTTTTCGGTTATTTTAAGTATTCGATCCACGGCCGATAAGAGCATTTTAAATTTCTTGTCATGTTAATTTAATTGTGCTTGTGGTATATCCATGTTGCAAAATATCTTATTTTTAAAATATCGCTGTGATCAAGATTCAAAAATCTACGAGAAAATCTCAAACTGTAAAATTTATTTTGGTACAATTAATAAACAGTTAGACCTACTTTACATTGATTAGCAGCCATGATTCAAAAAAACATATTCATCTAATCTAAATCTCCACAGAACGGCTTTTGAAGCATAACAAAAATAGGTATATTTTGTTATTCTCCATTGACATTGTGTCAATCATTCATATCTATTAAACATTTGGCAACTTCGAAGGGCTTTACTCAGGTTGCAAAACCACACCACTGCATTACTAACGCTGTTAGTCGCCTTGAAGTATTTGGTCATATATTGCTATGACGCGACTCGGACAACTGCCCTATGAAGGCTACAGTTTTAAAAGACCGGTAATCCGGTATGCTTTTCTACCCTCGCATTCGGGGTGATATATCAAAAATAGTGAAAAGACTAAGTATTAGGATATTATGGTTTATATTGTTTTTTATTTGTTATGGCCTATCTACACAATTCAATACGTCCTGATTGAGAGGCGGAAGTTTGTACGACCACCAACCACAGATTTAATTCACATGCCATAGTTATTAATTCATCGTATCCAGCTTTAAACGAGCGTTGAAAATTTGAGTCAAACCGTCTATTTATGCCAAATTATCTCTAAAAAACCAGTTGAAACCTCATGAAATATTTTCACAATCGACTAGAATCCAGATTTCATTTACTCGACTGATTTTACTTCCATATTATTCCTCAGTTACTGCTGCAGCTGATAGTTTTTCTGAGATAGATTCATACAGGTGCGACAAAAACATGCTCAAAAGTTCGAACATTTACCTCCTTGAAACTATTTTAAAGAAGGCAAATTGTAAAATACAGTAAAGATGGGCCTATTAACATAATCGTTGTCGTTAAAATTTATGATATAATTTATGGCATTCCCGAAACAAATTAAACTTCAGGATATAGCTGCCAACAGAGGGTTTTAGGAAATGAGAGATATGTACTCCGGAAGTATGTGTACCAGGTTAAGGTTAAGCCATAATTTTATTCCGGTTTTCTTCGTTTTAATCCTATTACGAGCTCGGGGACTGCAAGCGTTAGTCAAATGAATACAATCCTGTCCACAGGTTTCAGTCCATTTACACAAATTGAAGTAAAATGGGAGAAATAATTAGGTACTTTTATAATGGTACCCATACTTGAGGGGCGCCCAGAGCTATAATGAAGTCCAATCATTTTTGTTACAAGATATAGGCAAGTGATAGGATGCTAACAAACAACTGTATTTTCTTGGTTGTAAAACTCAGTTATGAGCGTCTCACGTGACATAATCAATCCGTTCTGTTACATTTCTACGACATTACACGTCAAACAAATTTTCCCCTACAGGTAAACATTTTCGTAGGTATGAAATCGTACTATCTGACATATAAAGTTTTTTTAAACCTTCACTAAAACAATAAGACGTTCCCTCATGAACTTATAGCCCATACATAGAAAGTGATATTTCCTAAGTTAAAACTGTATGCGTAGTAAGACAATTTTGAAGCCTTGCTTGAAGAATTATTCCGGCTCGGATTTAAACCAAGAATACTTTCCCAAAAATATTATTTTTGAGTGTTTGAATTAAGAAATATGTCGGTTTTGCTGTCTTTAAGTCAGAAACATATCGTTTGTTTTAAAACGTAGGTCGGTCAATTTTTGTTCTAAGTCGAAATGCCACGTCATGGTAAAATAAACCTTATTAATTTTGTCATGGAATGTCGTCATTTTAGTTTCATGATTTTTTTCAGACGGGTGACAGCATATTTGCCATCA